CATATACTCTAACTTGTTTTCATCTGGCTGTCAAAGTTTGTATCATTTATTTGTTGTATGTTTGTTTGTGTTTGTTTGTTTTTATGTTTGTTTTTATGTAGGTTGTATGTTTGTATTTGTATGTATGTTTGTGTTTTGTATCAATTCATTTATTTTTTCTGTTGTTTGGATTATTGGGTTATGATTTTTAATTTTTTTTAAATCGCTTTTCTTTGTTTGTTCGTTCGTTCGTTCACCATCATCTTCATCTTGTTTGCAGTAACAACAAAACTTTAAAATTACTCTACCGAACTTTTTAAAAAATCAGTACATAGATAAGAAAACGATGTTTGGTCTATGGTCTCAGTTAGTTCCAGAGAGCTTCGTGGGGCATAATGTTAAACTCACTGACTTCCCTTTGTTTGCGCTCATCGTTAAGGACCAGTCTTTCAAGGTTGGATTCATGTTCAATTTATTTATTTTTTTTTTTAAATTATTACTTATTTAATTATAGTCTAATAATGTTATTAATAATTATTTTCATGATTATTTATAATGTGTATAATGTGACATAATTTTCATAGATTCGATTGGCTGGTTTGTCCATACTGACCTCATTAATTGATGGCTCTAAGCAGTTTCTCATGGCCGCTGAAGACGGGTCAGTGATAATAAAGATGATGATGGCGATTATTGTATTTATTATTAATTATTATTTTTATTTATTTATTCTTTTTTGTTTTTTATTTGTATATTTATTATTATTCGTTATCACATATTTATTTTCTAATTGATGAATTTTCTGTTGTATGTGCAGAGATAGATACCAGAACGTCGCATACACGCCATTCTCTGTGAGGCTGGCTGGTATGATAAAAGAGTTGCACAGGTTAGTTGGTTGCTGTTGCTGTTGGTTGTGTTGTTGTTGTTGTAGAGTTGTTGTGTTGTCGTGTTTTTGTTGTATGTTGGGCTGTTTTATTGTTGTTGTGTTGTTGTTGCTGTGCTGGTTTTGTTGTTATGTGTTGCTTTGTTGCCGTCTATTTTGTTGTTGCTGTTTTATCTTTTTCCGGTTGTTTTTGTCACCTATTTGCTAATATCCTTGCTATGATTATCTATATTACTAACTATTTTGTCTTTTTGTCATAATTGATGTTAATACCAATATTATTATTTTTATTATTATTTTTATTTTTTTTTTCGGTTTCATCATAGGTAGCCAAACGGCAACCTCCGATCTCGGGGAAAATGTCGTCTAAACGTGTGTTGTTGTTGTAGTATTATTATTTTTAATAATTGTTATTATCACTACTACTACGTGTATAGATGTTTATTGCACATTCTGTCTAAAGAGCAAGTATTCATCGTCATTGTGCAAGCCATTAAGGTTGGGGATGTGTAATTGAAGTAGCTTTCTGGTTGATTGGTCAGAGGCACCTAGTCCTGCTTTTGAATGAGCTGGTTTGAATGTGTGCTTTTCATTTAGTATTCACGTGACGCCGTGTGTGTGTGTATGTGTGTATGTGTGTGTGTGTATGTGTGTGTGTGTTTGTGTGTGTGTGTGTTTGTGCGTGCGTGTGTTTGTGTGTGCGTGCGTATGTGTGTGTGTGCGTTACCTTTAACCTTTAGCAATCTTACCACGTAACATTCAGTGTCTTGGCGTTCTTGTGTCCAACTCACCTTACCACAGATTGAAACCGGGTCTACTGAGTAGAACCACCAAGATGGTCAGACCATTCCTCTATCATAAGGGTATGCTGGCTGGCTGGTTGATTGGATGACTGAATGGCTGGTTGGTTGGTTGGTTGGTTAGCTAGATGATTGGTTGGTTGACTGGTTAGTTGGTTAGTTTGGCTGGTTTCTCGGCTAGTTTGATAAATAAACGAATAATTATTAATACCTAATAATAAATAAATAACAACAACACACGTTTAGACGGCATTTTCCCCGAGATCGGGGGTTGCCGTTTGGCTACCTATGATGAAACCGAAATACCCCTCGACCCCATCCAAATCTGTCACTCGCCTCAGTATCACGCAACCCCGCTTTCACCCTGTCCTTCTCCACCTGCTCTCTCCATCCCATTCGCGGACGACCCCTTCCTACCACTCCTTCAACCTCGAACTCCAACGCTCGCCTAATCCCGACTCTTTCATCCCTTCTCAACACATGTCCATACCACCGTAATCTCGATCTCCTTATCAATGTCACAATGTCCTCATTCAGTCCCATCATTGACATCAGCTCTGTACTACTCCTCCTATCCTTCACTTTAACCCCACACATCATCCTCACCATAGCTCTTTCAGCCCTCTGCAGTACACTTTCCTCCTCTCTCTTCAGCACCCAAGTTTCACCACCATATACCATCGCTGCTCTCACACATGCTTTATATACCCTCTCTTTCATCTTCACTGACCATTTCTTTCCACACAATACCCCACCCAGTTCCCTAAATTTCATCCATCCTACACGAACTATAGCCGTAACTGCGCTCAAACATCCTCCATCCGCGTTCAGCTTATCCCCTAAGTAAACAAAGCTTTCCACTCTTTCAATACCACCACTAAACCCCGTCCTTGCGTCCGTCTTATTAATCACACCATGAACACATTTCTTACATTTGAACGTGCTTTCCACCTTTTTCAGTGCCCCCCTCACACCACTACATCTCTTATGCACCCATTTCTGACATCCTATACACAATACCGAGTTAGCCTTCACTCTCCTGTCACATACCCCACAGGGGTCTATTTTACTTATCACTCGCTCCCCACCTTCCCCACTCACCATTACCTTCGTCTTACCAATATTAACTTTTAATAATAATAAATAAATAAGCAAATGGATAAATGAATGAATAAATGATTGAATGAATAAATGAATGAATAAACAAATCACGTGATTAGATGCGAACATAAGAGTGGTAAGCCTGACGTGTATGGGGAGTGTCGTATCAGTGAGGACTCCACTGGCGGAGGTCGTGCACATCCTCGAATCAAAAAATAAATTCACCTCCAGCAACAACTCCCTCTCTTCGTTCTCAGATCTGAGGATTGATAAGTTGGAGCTTACTGACGCCACTGCTGCTGCTGCTGCTGCTGCTGCAGATCGATCCTTCAGTAACTCATCTTCACTTTCTGCTAGTCCTGGTTAGAAATTTATGTTTGTTTGTTGGGTGGGCTTGCTTGCTTACCATTTGTAAATGTAACGTGATGTGTTAATCGGATGGTTTGCTTTTTTTAGATTTCATTTTTCCCTATCAGTTTTTTGTTTTGAAATGAATTCGTTTTTGTGTACAAGTTTCTAGAGTTAGAGTACACCAAGTTTAACGTTTTTTCAATGTTATTATTTTGTTGTGGTTGCCATTTATTTGAATTTAAAAATTTTATTTACGAAATCTCATTTATTCAAACATTTCAGTGAAATTTTCATCGTCCCCTAATCGTCATCAACTGTCCGGTGACCTTCCTGTGACCTCGGCCTGCAGGTCCCTTCACTTCAGTGACCTTCACCCCGGTGAAAATTCTGCATCGATGTTAGAAAGCGACAACAGCATGGGCGGGGGCTGCAACTACATCAGCAACGACATGTCCTGGCTGATGAAAGTTTGTATAGAAATAATTACCGACAAGAGGAAACCGTCCAATCGCCACAACTTCGGTGACGCTGGTGGTTGTAGCAGCAGCGACAATAGCAGCAGCGGCGCTGAAGACTCGTCGTCGTCATCTGACGTCGATTACATATCGCCATCAATATCACCATCGCCAGCATCGAAATCATTATCAACACCAGCAGCAGCAAAGCAGCTGAAGCACGTGATACCAGTACGAGTTGAAGCTCTTCAGCTCTTGACGCTTATCACCAAGGGATACTTCTCTATTGTCAAGTTAGTATGTAATAGTATCACGGCATTACCGTACATATTATTACAATAGTACTATGTTATTGTAAATTTGTAGTCAGTAGTAGTATTACTAACTTGAACACAATTCAATACTAACAAAATTACTCACAAGAAAGCACTTGTCCTGTGTTCGTGAGGCCATCTTGTTCTGTTTGCAAGATAGTGACCAGTCAGTCCTCTTGCATGCCTGCAAGCTGCTACTGTCTCTATCAACTGCTGTCAATGCTACTACAGCTGCTGCAACTACAGCTGCTGCTGGGAATGTTCTAGAACAAGTAGGTTATTTTTCGTTTTTTAATTTTTTTTAATTATATATTTTTTAAGGTGTCTTGTAAAGAAATACTTTCTTTTTTGTTATTTTTCGTTTATAACTTTAGTGTCATTCTATTACGCGTGTTTATAAGGGCTGTTACTATTCGAAGTATGCAACTTTTAGTATAATTACTTAACAATAGAAATATTATCCTGGATTCATAGCCCTACATTTTTTACCGTCACTACTGCTGCTGCCACTATTCTAGTACTACTACGTTTTTAAATGTTGCTTACTGCTATTGTCTCTGGTACTGTTTTTTACCGTTACTACTACTACTACTACAGCTAGTACTTTTTCTATTGCTGCTACTACTACTACTACTACTACTACTACTACTACTACTACTACTACTACTACTACTACTACTACTACTACTACTATTGCTACTACTACTATTACTATTACTATTACTACCACTACCACATTTCCAGTACCAGCAACTCTGGTGGACGTTGTTGGACGGTCCAGTGCAACAATTGTTGGCAACAAATGTTGAAAAGAGCAACGTTGACGAAATGGTCGTCATGACGATGTGTGAATGCATTGGAAGCATCGGGCAGAAAGTCTTCTCTGGTCTACCTGTGCGTTCTGTGCCTTTTTTTGAAGCAGCCACTTACGACATTCACATTATTCCTACGCTCTGTGGTTTTGAAACATTTATATTTAGTTGCAGTTAAACGAATTGAATGAAATATAATACAAAATACACGTCATGTGTTCATTCATTGAAAACGTTAAATTCCATAGTTACTCTTACATTTTTATCATTCTCTCACCTAGGCCTCGAAACACGTCTTCTGTATAACAATGATGCTGGGTTTGACCTCTGACCCTAACGCATACGTACGTATTGGAGCCCTCTCTGCTATTGGTAGATGCCTTGAGTACCCCTGTCTGAGAGAGGTGAGTGTGCTGATGACGATGTTGTTGGTGATGATGGTGATTATGATTGGTTAAATCTCCCTGTATAATCATCTTTCTTAATTGTTTTACTTTTTTCTATAATTATTATCCTCTTTATTCATTCGTATACTCACCATTATCGTTTTTCAAGGTTTTCTTCTTACTTACCATTGTCATCATCTTCCTCATATGTCATCACCATCATCATCTGCATCATCACTACCATCATCTGCATCATCATCTGCATCATCATCACCATCCTCCTCATCCCACCATCTCTTCTCTCCAACACTCCACCACACAAGGACGAATGCTTTTTAGTGGACGCCACGTCATGCCTCATCAAAAGCTGTCGAGATAGCAACCTGTCTGTCGTCATGAAGGCCACTTGGTCCATTAGCAATCTCACCGACGCGCTGCTCCCTAACAAGTAGTAGTAGTAGTAGTAGTAGTAGCAGTAGTAGTAGCAGCAGCAGTAGTAGTAGTAATAGTAGTAGTAGTAGTAGTAGTAGTAGTAGTAGTAGTAGTAGTAGTAGTAGTAGTAGTGGTGGTGGTGGTGGTGGTGGTGGTGGTAGTAGTAGTAGTAGTAGTAGTGGTAGTAGCAGCAGCAGTAGTAATAGTAGTAGTAGTAGTAGTAGTAGTAAATAATGATATAGTTTCAGTTAGTTTTATTGCCACGTGTCTGAATTTGATATCGAAGCATTGATGGTTGAAACGAACGATGGATGGAATTAGGAAGATGATTAAATGACTGATAATGGTACTGACAGTAACTAATTATCACAATTATGTCATGAATCTATTTATAGAGACGAGAATAGCTACCCCAGTTCACTCCTCCTTGAACTGTACACAACATCGTGTGACCTCTGCACGAAGAATGACAAGACAAGGTCAAATGCCCTAAGAGCACTCGGAAATTTACTAAATTTTACCCCTAAGCAATTTATTGGTTGAGTCATTTTTTCTGCCTGATTTTATTTTGTTTAATTGTTTATTTATTGAATTAACTGTTTGTTTATTTAATTATTATTTCCGTTCGTTCACGTATTTCTCATTCAATCATTTATTCATTCATGTATTAGAATGTTCGTTTTCAATTCATTCATTTGTTCATTCCTTCATTTGTTCGTACTGTGGATGGTTCATTTCTCTGCTCGTTCATCCATCATTTGTTCGTTCGTTTTCCACTCATTCGTTCATTTCTTCACTCTTACCTGCCTGCAGAATCAGAAAAGTTCAGGGAGGTTATGGATTTGAGTCTCAAACTGATCAACAACTACATGACATCAGGCAGTGTCAAGGTCATTAATTATAATTATTATATTATGAATATACGTTATTTATATTATAATTAGTTTATAATTAGTTTATTTGATGTATATATTTTTTATTTACAGTCAATTTAGATGCATTCTTATCTATAATTGCCATAATGTTTCATTCAACGTTACGCCATTGTCAACGCTTTTAGCATTATTATTGTTGTTGGGATAGTTATTATTACCATCATTTTTATGTTTATTATCGTTATTATCATTATTATTATTATTAATATTATTATTATTGTTGTTGCTGTTGTTGTTATTGTTGTTGTTATTTATTCGAAAGGTAAGATGGAACGCGTGTTACGCGTACGGTAAGCTGATGAAGAACGAGTTTGCTTATAATCAAGTTCATCCTAATATTAAGGTTATTACAATTTTTTTATATTATTATTATATTATTATTCCCTCTCTTTATTTCTCTCTCTCTCTCTCTCTATTTCTCTCTCTCTCATAATTATCAATAATTATGATCAGAGACCATTAAAGGTGATAATTTTCTGATTATTTTCTTATGTTTATGCTTCTTTTAAACCTTTTGGATATGAGCAAATGGATTTTTGTTTTAAATCCAGGATTGTTTTTTATGTTATTTTATGTTGTGTTGTGTTATGTTACATTATGCTATGTTATAATCAATCTACGAAACATCGTAAATATTCCCACTTATTTGGAGTTGCTGAATGAAAGCGCATTTCATTTCATTTTCCGGTAAAATATTTCTTCAAATATTCCACCCCACCAGAAATCCTCATTCAAATCTCTTCTCCACGCAATCAAAACCTGTAAAAACTTCAAAGTCAAAATTAGCGCAGCTACCGTCTTAGGCTCGCTGACCAATAGGAACGCTTTCTTAATAGGTCAGGGCCGTTCGAATGTAGGTCAGGTTAAAGGCAATAGTAGTAGTGGTGGTGATAAAAAGGATGGTAAAGATGAAGAAGGGGAGGAAGATTTTTTCATTCCGATATTGGAGACGATGACGATGACGTTGCTGTCGTTCAATTCATCCAAATACGATTATCTGGAGATAAAGATTGCCACCAGCTTCCTCAAAAAGGTGTAAATTCTTTTTTTTTCTTTTTTATCTTATCATTTTTTCATTCTTACTTTCACTCTCTCTCTCTCTCTCTCTCTCTCTCTCTCTCTCTCTCTCTTTCTTACTCTCTCTTTTTCTCTTTCTTACTCTCTCTTTTTCCTGCTCTCTCATCTTTTATGCACCATTATCATTTATTCTTTGCCTAAATTGATTAATTCCCAAAATGGTATTATTAATTTGTTTTTCAGTAATTCCTCCAAAAAATAGTAAATAACGGATTAAATTTTTGTCACCAGGTTACATCGACGTTATTGAAGCTCCTCACATTGACCGAGTCGTCTGATCTCGAAAAACTGCACGCCATCATTAATGACCAATGCGATGACCTCAAAGTTCAAATATTCAAGGTCATTTCTGAGGAAGAGTCACGTGAAGCAACTGCTGGTGGCTTACTGGACCATCCGGCTACTGATGCGGAAGAGAAGGATGCTAGGGATGAGGAAGATGAGGAAAAATGTGAGCCAGCCAGGCCACTTTTTTATTTATCCTATTTTTTATTTAAATTTGTTTTTTGTTACTGCTATTACGCTACTGAAAGTTCTAAATGGTTTTTAACAAGAGTAAATCAAATTATTTAATAATTCATAATTAATAATAATAATAATACAAATTCCCTAGTTCTTAGGCTCTACTCCAATCATAATCTCTTCAGATTATATTTTGAAATAATTTCATTTTTATATTTTATTTTATGTAAATTTGTTCGATTATATTTTAGATGAATTCCATTTTTTTCCATATTACTTTAACGTTTAATGCGGTTTAAAATCTCATGTTAATTAATTCTAGTATTTATTTATTTTCCAATATTTTATTTGTTCAACAAAAAATTTTCATTTTCATCAGCACTAGCCACTTTGTTGAGGTGCGTCCAAGAGCGTTTGACAGTGTTGAGGAATGAAGAAATGCCATGTTGGCAAAATCTGTGGAGACTTTTTAATTATGCTCCTACTGCTGCTGCTGCTACTACTACTGCTGCTAATGGTGGTGATAGTTATGATAAAAGTAATGTATTATTTTATTAAAAGACTGATTTAGTGTTGTTTTTAATTAATTAATTGGTTTATTTTTGTCGCTATTATTGTTTTGTTATTTTTCTTGTTTTTTTTTATGTACAAATCAAATTTTCTGATTTTATAATTTAAAAATTTTTAATCCAAAGGAAAGATCGAGAAAACTTTAGGAGAGTTCATTGAAATTCATGATTGAAACTGTTATTGCTCTCTTCCGATGTAACATTTATTGTGCATCCACACAAACACACATGTGTATCGATTGTTAAATTGTTAAATGTTTCATTTTCGTCTGATACAAAGCGGTATGGCAGTTCAATTTTTTGAATGTTAAACTTTATAAGCATTGCATGTTAAATTTATTTTGTTACCTTATAGTGCTTATTTTTCGTGTTTATTATTTTGGCAAGTGCTGTTTACTGTTTATTTTAATACTGTTTATTTTATAAAAACGGTTTTGTGATGATTGTTTTTCTAATGTAGAAGAATTAAGGCCAAGTTTTATTTGGTGGTTTTATTGTTTATGGTTGTTGAATTTAAATTAAGGTTTTGTGAAATTAGTAAAACAAATGTCAATGTTGTTGTCTATTTTTTATTTAAAATGTATATTTTTATTATATGATGGCCGCATGGAATGAGTAAGTTACTTAGTGATTTGTTGATAGATAGATGACCCTGACAGATTGTTAGCATGTAGCCTTCCATTCCATTTGAAAGTTAATCTTTTTTCTTTTTCTTTGACTTTCCACTCGTTACAGAATTCGATCGTTTGCTCTTTGGTGATTCAATTGCATTTTTCAAAAGTGGAAATTCATCGGAGCAAGTCAGGCAGAATTCTACCGACTTGGTGGCTTCGACGATTTCTTTGGCGGTGGCGATCAAATCTCGATTTAGTTCTTCAATGATTATGTCGTTCTTTTCTTTTTCGTCTACAATTATGGTTGGGTGGTGTTGGGGGGTGACTTCTACGTCCATCTCCTTGCTCTCCTCCTTGAACTCTTCGACGTTGTCCTGGACAGAGGCGTCCAGTACGGGGTCCACGTTTGTCTTCTCGTCGTCAGTTTTGAATAGAGAACTGATGATGTCTAATTCAATGCTCTCGTGTTTAGGTGACGTCATTTCTTTTGTCTCTTCATTCGAATGGCTAAAACTCATAGGTAGGGATGTCGTGTTTTCTATTTTATCGACGACATATTCCAAATCAAAGTTTGATTTGTGTTCATAATTTATCTCTTGTTCTCCGCTCGCCTCTGATTCATTAGATTCCGATCTGGATGGGTTGGGTCCCGTGTATGGAGGGAATGAATCGGGATCCACGAATGTGTTGTTATCTGCGTCCGTTCGCTGAAGTTGGTTAGGATTGGTCGGCTGCAAAAATGTAAAGTTAGAACTTGTTAAAGAAGAGAAAGCGTAACTGGTGAAGTTGTTGTAGAGTTTGACGATGTTCGAGATGGTTGAATCAAATGATTGCAGCAACATCAATCCGGATATTCGCTGTCGCTCCGGTCGACTAGATTGCGGAGAGAAGGAATTGATGAGGGATTGTGTTCCCACGGTGTACGAACTTTTATAACAATCACTTTGCGAATACAGAGAAACAACGGGCGTTTCTGGGTTGTTGACTAGTGACGTGTTGGATTCATTTTTTGAACTTTCCTTCCTTTTGTTTATCTTGTATTCCCAGAAATATTGAGGTACTTTTGAAGAATCGGATATTGTTTTTCTTATGTGATGCGCTTCGTCATCTGAAACTTTTATATCCTCTGCCGATTTTTTGAATGTCGGCGAAACACTTTCAGTCGGTGATTTTTCTGCTGGTTTTGAATCATCGGACGCCTGCACGGAGCTGCTGTCATTATCAGTTAGCGTTTGTACCTGCCGAAGAAAATTTTGTAAAAACATTTGCAATTCTATTTCTTTACGCAAGTAATCTAAATCTTTATCCGTTTTAACGAGCTGATTTTTTACAAGATCGTTTTTTTCAATTACTTGCAGATTTAGAGTTTTTTTCTTTTCAGTTTCTGTAAAGTTTTCTGAAGCAGGCGGGCTTAATTTGATCATATCTTTAGGACTGCTCTTATTCGTTAAGCGAGGTTCGTTAGATCTACTTCTAGATATTCTAGTTTTTGCGTTCGTAACTGGAGCGACAGAAGTGAGTTTAATTTCTATCTTAGCGGGAGAGGGTTTTCTTTCTACGATGGTCCTTTGCGGAGAGATTGCTCTAATGGCCTTTGTCAGTACTTCAGCTGATTTATCTTTAAGCATAACTGCCTCGGCTTTAAAAATTCTCATGGCTTTGTTCAGTGAATTTTGAAGGACCGCAGTGTTCTCTGAAACGTTTTTCACTTCTTTTTCGATAAAATCTAAAAATTGGTGAACTGGAGGTATTTTGGTTGTGTTGACATCATGCGGTTCTTTGTTCGGCCATGTTGATTTGCCGTTAGGTTTGATTGTTTTAATATTTCCATTTTGATCTTCCTTTTCATTTTCTTCGTTGTCGAATAAACTTGTTAATATTATAGTGTTGAAGCTGACCTTCCTCTCTCGCTTGTGACCAACTTGATCCTCCTCCTGGCTCGTTGTGTCACTGTGGTTGGACTTCACATCAACTACACGCTTATCAATCAACGTTTTGAGGCTTGAGTTGTCAGTGTCTTCGTTTATTTTATCAAAATCACTTGCTTCACACTGAATGGAAGCGTCTACTAAAAAGGTTACTGATGTTTTGCGGGCGTTCTGTCCGCATTCTTTAGTTGGTTGCGGCAGTGGTGAGGCTTTCTTTTTCAAAATTGGTTTTGCCTTGAAATCTTCCTCGGAAGAGGCATGAATAGAATTTTTCGAATCAGAAAGCAAAACTGGAATAATTGAACTTGGTAATGGCTTTCTTACAAGTTTTGGAAAGTTTAAATTATCGTCCAGGCTGCTTTCTGATGTTTGGCTTTCAGCTTTAGTCGTTGTTGCTTCGATTGTTTGAGTAAATTTATTTCTGCCAAATTTATTTCTTTTTAATTTTTTAGACTTTTTTCGACCGCTAAACTCATTTTTTATTATACGGTCAGGAAAACTAACAGCGGATTCTTCAGTTTTGCTGGATTCTCCTGATGTATCTGAAGTCTCATGTTCGGTTTTTACGTTTCGTCCAAACATTTTCTTGTTCTTTTTGTTCCAAAATCTGTATTGATATTGCTTTTTGAGCCTGTTGGTTTTAGCCGATGACATTGAAGTCAATTGTTCAATATTCAATATTTTTTCTTCATCCGTAACATCAGATTGCAAGATATCTCTTATCAGAAGTAATTTTGTGGTGTGATCTTGTTTGACGCCGCGATTGTAATCAAAATCCTCTTGACGTGAGGGAGAGAGAATTTCATAACTGTCCATCAACGTTAATCTTGTTACGGCTGGTGTTGAAGATAGAACTGCCGCTGATGTTTCTTCAGCTGATCCTATTTGAACAGCCATGGATGCGTTGCTAATTTTTTCATCTTCTAAACATGTTTTATAACTGGTTTTTGTAGAGAACATTTTATCTTTTAATTGCTGTAACCGTTGACAAGCTGCAGAAAGTTGTTGTTTGCCCGTTGGATAGCTGGATGATGTTAAAAGTTTCTCCTTCAATGACCTGTTTTTAAACTGCTCGACTACATCACTGGTTGTTGTCAAGATTGTTTCCAAATTATTATTTTCGCCTCCTGTTCCGTTTAATTCCGTGTTTATAGTTTTTACTTTTTTACTTTTTCGTGGCTCATCATTTTTGCATATGTCTAACAATACCGGCTCATTGTCACAAATTCCAAACAAAAAATCGTTCAAGGTCATTTCTAAAACCGACTGGTTCAAATCTTGTTGATTGCTTAAAGTAACTTTTAGTGAACATGTTTTTTTCTCTTGTGCATTGGTTGACTGTACGATGTTATCCGTTTGAACAACATCTGATGGGCCAGAATTTTGATCAAAAAGTAAATCAATTGCAATATTGCTTCCTGAATACGTGTTCTGATTCTTTGGTTGCACGGACATCTGTAAAGATTTCTTTTTCTTTAGTAAACGGTTGAAATCGTCAAAATTAATTGTTCTGCCTTCCTTTTTAATGTTATTCTGCAGACTGAGAGATGTCCCGATTTTTTTAGAAGCACTGTTATCGACGTCTTTCATTAATTTTTTCAATAAATCTGATATGTCTGTTGCTACTTTTCTCACTTCCGTCGTTTTATTTGATTCAATCAGTGGCGCTTCTTCCTCTTCGATCATCTCATCTGAAATGTGTACTTTCAATTTATCCTGTTTAAGATCATTGAAGAGATACTTAAAAGCCATTTCAGAGCCTGAAAATGTTTTTTTCACGCTATCTTTTGGAAAATAATATCTCAAATTTTTTGGCGGAGCTAGAGCATCTGTAATTATTTTTGGCAATTTTCTTCTCGGCTTAACATAATCGGTTTGTTGAGTTTTAGATACTTGATTCTGGAAATATTTTAAAAAATTATTAACGGCTCAAATATTGAAAGACTATCAACATTTCTCTTACTTCTGGTTTAGTCAGTTTTTCAATGTTTTTCATGTACTGAAAAATTTGTTCTTGTATCGTCACTTGGGCGTTCACAAATTCTTCATTTTTTTTCTCAATTCTGTTAACTCGATCGACAAGAGCTGATTCTTGATGGATGAGTTTTTCGAAAATTCGAATCATATCTGGCACATGCTGAACTGAAGATTGTACTGAGTCCTCCTAGATTAAAAAATAAAATAACCAAGAAAATTCAAATAATTGCATTTTTATTTATTAACGCTATATTCTTACGTCAATTTCAGCGACTGATTCTTCTTTTATGGTATACACTTTTTTCGTGTGTTCATCTTTAACAGCTTCCTTCTCATCGGTCTCAGCAAATTCGATTTTGCTTTTTTCCGATTTTTTGACATTCGTAATTTGATGCTTTTGTTGTATTTTATAGAATTCCTTATTTTTCATCCAAGATTTTGCCGGGAGTTCCGGTTTAGTTATATGAACAAGAGTTTTAAATTTGTCGGATTCTTCATCGGAGTTTTCAGCCGAAGCAGTTTCTTGTTTCTCTTCTTCATTCTCAACTCTTTCAACGTCATCCATTTCTTCGTCGACCAGGTTTTGTGGTTTTAAAAATTCAATGACGTCCTTCGGGGTGGGAGAGTACTTTCTAAAATCGAACAGCGAACTTTGACCGATTATTCTTTCATTAGTGGTTAGATACAAAAAGAGATACTTATCATCCGATGTCTCAACCTAATATTATTATTAAAATCTAGTTAACCGAATGTAATTGAAATTTTTTTATCCGTGAATTACTATAATGAAACTATTAAATAAAATTATGATATTAAATAATTTTGATGCTACTGCACTAACTTCGATATCTTCAGGGTGGAATACGACAGTTCGAGCAAGTGGTCTATATTTAAATGTCGGTTTCTTCTGGGCCCATTTAAAACCGACAAACTCGAAGCATTTATCTAAATGGCGACAACATTTGAAGAGACCCAACCAGTCTTCGGATTTCGGGTTGAAACTTTTCAAGATGGTGTAGTTCAACACTATGGACTCGCCTGTGATATAAAACTTTGGTATGTCCACGAAAGTTACAGGCTGGATGCAGTCTTCACATGGTACCTCAAAGTTGAAACAAACAGGTCGATTTGTTTTGGCGCTTTCGGAGTTTCTCGAAGGCATGTTGATGGCACTTTTCGGTGGTATATAAAACGCTTTAATAATTTTGTTCAATCTTTTAAATAATTTTATAAAACATTCGAATAATTTTTTAAAATGTAAATAAACATACAGACAAGTGGAATCGATCAGATGTCAGCTCCGGAGTGCAGTTTCATTCTTTCCTACCCACAATCCCAGTGCACTTTACTTCTTCAATTTTTGCTCAATTTTTTTAAATTTATTTTATCGCTTTTTATTTGTTGTTATTTATTTACTCGGCTAGTTTACTTTAATTGCGGCATCTTTAAATTACGTCTAAATAATAATTCGGATTATGACGTCATCAAAAGTTGTCAAAGACTATATAAATGTTTTATGTTTCATTGTTTTTGTTCAAAAGATAATTTTATTAATATTTTTACGAGAATTACTTAAACATGTTTTTGCAAAACATTTGGCACATAAGCTACTACTTTTACTATTACTACAAATACTATACAACTGCCAGTCTGATAATAATGATAACAGTAATAATAATAAAATATATGATAAAGTCCGGCTCTGGACTCAGAGATGAAGCAGAAAGTCTCATTATAGCAGCTCAAGATCAGGCACTATAAATATGCGATACCATCAAAAACGTTTTCTTAACATGAATTTCAACAGCAAATGTATGTTGTGTCAACAGCTGTAGGAGCATGTCCTAAAAGAACTTGGTCAAGAACCTGAAAAGGTTGTCGAGTTTGACAAAACAACACTCATGCACGAGATGGCCATAAACACCGACTGAAGTATTGGGGCTAACCGGCCAGATATCATACTCTACAATAAAAGTAACAAAAAATGCCTGCTTATCGATGTTGCTGTTTCCAATGGCACGAATGTTGCTGTTAAGAACTTTGAAAAACTAAGCAAATAAAAATCTCTTGAGATCGAGATTTCACGTATGTGGAACACAAAAACACGCGTGATCCCAAAAGTAGTTGGTGCATTGGGAACTGAACAGGGGATGAACTGAATATATCTCGATGAACTGCCTGGAAAGGAGAGTGTTGCACAAGTGCAGGAGATGGCTCTACTCGCTACTGGCTGCATACTTCGAAAGATTCTAACAACAGGAGACTAAAATCCTACACCTCAGGAATCCGCTGGACCCCCGGTAGATGGATGCCAGCAGAAGTTTCTGAGGATAATAATAATAATAATATTAATAACAATAAAAATAATATAGATAATCTTTTATAATTTGTATAAGATTTTTCAAAAAAAAAATATGCCTTCCATTAAAAAACTTTTTGAAACAAACCTACCTACAAATCTTATCATAATAATACATGCATGAAAGCTCGTACTTTTAGCATATTATTTATTTGATGATGATAATAATAATCATAATAAATAGTTATATCAATAAGTAATAATATAAATAATAATAAAATAAAAATAAAAAGACGACGGCATTTGAAGAATACCCTACGATAAAGATCTCGTCATAAAATATCTACTAAATACTTTATCTCGGATTTAGAAATATTTCATTTCTTCAGGTACATAATAATAATAATAATAAAACATAAATAATAATTATAATATTAACATTTATTATTTTTATTATGCATATTATGTATATTATTATTCTTACATTTAGCTCATTTGAAAACTGTAAAAGTATGGACACATCAAATGAAAAAGAATGCATTTTTCATTTTATTGCTGTTAAACTATGCAAGTGATGGCATTCCGATCATTATAGACCGTTTATTCGTTCGATCAATCCTTTTGTCATCCCTTTATTTATTCATTTGTTCATTTTATTCATTCGTTCATTTTATTCATTCACTCATTCATTCATTCATTCATTCATTCATTCATTCATTCATTCATTCATTCATTCATTCATTCATTCATTCATTCATTCATTCATTCATTCATTCATTCATTCATTCATTCATTCATCATTTGTTAGTTTGTTTTTCAAAATTATATTATCAACTCTATGATATGACGTTTTTTATAATTCACGAAATTTTTTTGTAGACGACGAATACCAGCCATGCTAGAGTGATGAAATAATTATTTGATAATTCACACGAATATTTCATATCTGCTCACACGTGGTTAATAGTTACCGAATACTTAATTTAAGATATATATACATATTTGAATGAATGATGATTGACACCAAGACACTATGATACTGTTCATTGATACAAGGGGTTTGTTTATTTCACCATGGTATTTATGATACCTTTAGTGATGTTACTGGTGTTTCCAGTTAAGAACTTCACAGCGCCAAGATCAATATCTCTGATTTAATAATTATAACATTTCTCAAAATAAAACGCTACATAACTCTTTGTTATTTTACCTGTGTCAATCTATAACCTCAATACGTGACGTCATACAGGTGGTAATTACGATATTTCTGTCATGAAACGTAGAAAGAAGAGAGAAAGTGAGAGAAAAAGAAAGAGAGAGGAGAAAGAAAAAAGAGAGAGATGAAGCATCAATGAGTCAATGAGACGATGTTTACAGTACACTATATCAAAATATTTCGCCTGCATAATTAACATATTTCTGATATTTATTATTCTAATAAAAATAATTATTTACATTTAGTTGTTATAACCTGTTAAATGTTCACTATGAATATTAACTTATTATAATTCGGCGCGAAACGCGTTGCATCTTGATCGACTCACTGAAGCGAAACTGTGCACCATACTCTAGAGCATACTATATTGCATATATATGATACATATATACAAACTATATTGCATATATATATATATGTGTGTGTGTGTGTGTGTGTGTGGGGTGTGTGTGTGTGCCTATATGTGTATGTATGTGTGTGTATGTTAGTATGTGTGTATGATGTGTCTATGTGTGTCTACATGTGTATGTGTGCGAGTATGTGTGTCTGTATACATGTGAATTTGTGCGTGTAGGCCTATATATTTCTTTTTTAAACTTCTATATAACATAAGTTCATTTGATGAGGATGGTATTATCATTAAACATTAACTACTTCTTGTTAATTAACAGTAAACTTGACAATAAACTTAATACGTTAGTACATCAGTACTGTCATCAGCGTGCTCATGTACTTGTCACTTTAATGTCATGAAAGTTGTGCTACTGCATGTGATGAAGTTAATGTCGTTGCTTCACTTGTCTAGAAGCTTATTAGGGCGTATTGCTCGGTAGTGTTATTGTCATTGTAGTTATTGTTATCATTGATGTCATTTTTATTACTGTTTTTGTTGTTATAATTGTTCTTGTGTTGTTACTGGTGTTGTTCTTTTATAAACACAATTATTTAAACACTGTCTAATTGTGTTAGTATTATTATTATCATCATTATTATTACTATTATTGTATAATTTTTGTTTAAACATTAGTTTAATTATTATGAAAAATAGAATTGAATTGAAACAAAATCATAATAATTATTATTTCTGTATGAATCTACACACAAGAGCCAGGCAAAGATGCGCATGTAACGAAAATGAATAAAATATTTCATATATACATACATACATATAACACATACACACACACACACACATGTATATATGTATATATATATATATACATATATATATATGTATATACATATATATATATATGTATATACATATATATATAAATATACATTTCACAAAAGAGTAGCCAAATACTTTACAATTTATTGTAAGCAGCGTTTTTGTTTTTAAAAATTTCCACATTATCCGCATTACGATTGTTAGTGTAATTAAGGTCATTGTTGTCATTGTTGTTAATGTAATAATAATAATTATTATTATTGTTATTAATGTTAATTATTATTTTTGTTATTAGCGTATCATCGATTTTGTTATCACACACACGCACATATGATAACATCATAGCATGATAATATCGCCGTTTAAACTGCGCATAAAATTTTAAATAAATTTATTTATTAATTATTTGATTAGTTAGATGTTTAATTGATAATAAAATTAGTTGATTTATTCAATTAATTAATATATAGTTATAAAGTTGATGAGTCATTTTCGCATTATTAATATAAACATGAACAAAGTTAAAGCACGTTAATTCGTTTGCATAAACCTCATAGATCTAGTTACTAATGTGTTTATTTAACAATCATCATTAACTAATTAAAAATGTCATTGTTATTAATTAATTATTACGAATTAATCATTAATTTATTTTAATTAGGATTAATAAAATTTGGCGAAAATTGATGGGGCCGATGGTAAAAAATGTAACGTATGAACCCCCACAGGTATTTTTGTGATTTTTTCAACTATTTATAAAATGATTTATTTTATCTATAATCTCACTAATTAAGAAAGAGTAACACAGTGTATTGTTGTTGTTATTATTATTGTTATTATTATTATTGTTAGCGGTTGTCGTCATCGTAATAGTAGTAGTAGTAGTGGTAGTAGTAGTAGTAGTAGTAGCAGTAGCAGTAGCTGCAGCAGCTGCAGTAGTATCATCATTTCCTTGACGTTCAACAGCGCTTCTTAATGAATTTCGCAAACAGATGGGTCTTGAGATCCGCCCCGAACTTCAAAAGTGATGTGGCTGTTGTCAGAGGAGGAGGTAAAGAGTTTCAAAGAAAAGGGCCGAAAAAGGGCAAATGCAGATTTAATATGGGAGTGTTTAACACGAGTTAAGAAAAACTTAGGAAATAATTGAGATTAAAATGTGTACATTAATGTGCAGATTTAAAAAATCATCCCATATTTTATTGGTAGCCAATGCTCAAGAACAAGTTATGGAGATAGATTTATGAGAAAAGATAGGGGCACGAGCAACTATAGACGAGCAGCAAAGTTTAAAACTTTACTTAAAGGATAGAGTGTAGAGTCAGGAAGACCATAGTAGAGCGGGTTACAATAAACAATCCTAGTTAAACCGAATGAAGTAACAAGTAGGAGAAATGTAGGATCGTTAAGTGTTGTAGCAGTAGAAAAAATTTTTCTTTTTATCAATATTATTTTTAATGACGGTGTTGTTATTATAGTCTTGCTAGTACTATTAAGATTGATGTTGTTGTTGTTATTATTATTAAAGATTTTATTATCATCGTTGTTGTTGTTATTATTATTTTTCATGTGAGAATTTTACTCGAAAGAGCTAACAACACGTGCAAAGTAAGCCAACAAGACCAACGATAATAATTGAATAATCATATAAATGGATGTAGGCTTGAGGATCGTCAATTAAACTTCACGCATGTATAACGTAATGTTATTTGCTCTGTATATGATGCATGCGCTAAGGTAGGTTTCATTACTTTTTAAAATATATTATGCTTAATTTTTTAAACATTTGTACAAACATTCAGAAATATTTTAAATTTTTCATTTGTTGACTTTATGATAGCTCCTACTAGAATTTTTAGAATTCGGTGAAAAAATTTTATTTAACCAATCTTCATCTACATTACATCAATAATGATAATTATTAAATCAATTGTAAACAAAAAAATGTTTGTCTTTTGCTATTTGCTTGAACTAAGTCTGTCTTGTGTGCTTGATTTAATTAAGCTTCCACGCCACCTCACCTGTTTCGCACGCAAGCAGAACTGAACGCGTAGCAAAACATTTCATTCATTCATTCAATAAAAGTGTAAAAACATTCTCATCTTTGTTCTCTGTTTTCATTTTCTTTTTCTCTCTTTCTTTCTTTCTTTCTCTCTCTTTTTTTCTTTTTTTTCTCTCTTTCTCATCTATTATCTCTGTCTCTGTTGCCTCCTTCTTCTCTCTCTCTCTCTCTCTCTCTCTCTCTCTCTCATTCTCTCTCTCTCATTCTCTCTCTCTCTCTCTCTTGCACTCTTTTTGCATGTATTTGTCTCTCCCTTCTCTAATGCCTAATCAAACAAACGTTATTTATTAATAAAAGTTTGTTAGCTCTTCTGATAGGTACAAATTTATTTTTTTAAGGATGATGACGCACGTTCTCTCAATTTAATTTTTTTTTCTTCTTAAAAATTATTTAAATTGATAAAATATTAAAGATTGTTTTTAATTCGCAATTTTTATGCTGACAGAAGTAATTATAAATAATTTGTGATTTTAATTTAATTGAATTTAATTGATTCAAATCAAATAAAAAAAAAATAACCACATTTTAATCAACAGGTTTGCAAGAATTTAAATCAATCGACCAACAAATAAATAACATACTACTTGATCAACCAACCGACACCACCTACCGCCAATTAATTTTTTACTGTTTGTCAAACATCTGTCCGTCCATCCGTCCATTTTCCGTCCATTCTTCCATTCGTTTATTTATTTTTCAGTTCATCCGTCCATTTATTCATTTATCTTTCTTCTTTCCGTCCGTCCATTGACTAACTTACTCTCCCATCGACCCTGCCACAAATTCGCCCCCACAATGTTTGATGAGGAGACTTACCGCACCGCCATGAACGTCATGGATAGGGACTCCAGATCCGGTCAGCACTCCATCATCACTCCCCAGCCCTTCATGGAGCACGTGCCCACCCCACACTTCATCGACCTCTCACCGAGCATCAACCACAAACTGGACCGCCCCGACAGCAGGTTCAACAGCACTTCCAGTAGCGACAACTACAGTTCGAAGGAGAACCGGCGGATGAAGAGCGGCAGCTACGGCGACTTGATCGGAGTTGAACATGGAGATCACAGGTCCTTCAATCCTTACCTCAGCAGCCACAACGACAACATCGACGGCAACAGCAGCAACGTGCGCAAAGATTGGGCTGAACAAATATTCAACCGCAACAATTACGGCGATCGTTATTACGGCAGACCACCGTTTCAGCAACAACAGCGACATCAACATCGACCACAGCAACAATTCAAAAACAAGCCAGTGAGTCGATCAATAGACAACATCGAGCAACAGACGCAGCAACGTTACAGAAGTGCCACACAGTACCGACCACCACTATATTCACCCATGAGTTCAGACAACGAGGGCAGGTCTTCCAGTGACTACTTTAACAGGCAGTGCAGCGGCAATTCGAGGACCGATTACAGAACAGTCAGCGAGTCGGAAAATCCGAACTCGTTCCGACGCCGGTATTATGAGGAATCGGTTTCATCGGATGATCGTTCGAATGTACACCCATCTCGATACACGATGAAAACTCAACAACAGCAGTTCGAACAGATGAATTTGAGTCCCAGGTCAATGATCAGTGGCAGTGAGTCTGGCGATGAAATTTTGGTGGTGAAGAGAGCAGGTATGGTGGGAAACAAGTTCGAGATGAAACCACCGATTGCAAGACAAGGTGGTTTTTTAATTTGTTGACTATTTATATTAAAAAAGCAACTGAATTATATTAAATTATGATTTTCGAACATTAAATATTATACTACATCAAATTTTCAACATTCAAACGTGACTCATATCTTTTTTTATTCACCTCAACTTAAGCAATTCGAAGCTACGGCTCCCACAGCCGATTGGACAGCAACAACAACAACATCGGAATGCATTCCAACAACAACAACTACGACGACAACCGCAACGACACCTCAGCAGATCCGGACAGGATAGCACGTGAATATTGGGAGAATCGTTGGACTTCGGGCGACTACGGCAACAGCAGCAGAAACAACAACCCCAGGTACTCGCATCGACAACAATACAACTCTTCTGACAACCTCCTCAACAACAATTTCTCAAGCTCGTCAAGAGAACGATTCTTTTCAACGAGAACATCGTCAAACAACAGAGACAACAACAACAGCAGCAACAACGTTTCAAACAGAACGGTTCTTAAAAACGTCAGCAACAACAGCAATGGCAGCAACAACGCCAACAACGATAGCGGCGTTGGAAAGGACAAAGAACTTCTGAAGAAAATTCAACAGGAACTTGAATCGCAGAGGATGAACTGGACAGGAGAGATTGATAAGTTGCTCTCACCAATGAGTGCCGACCTAGAACGAACCAGGTCAGTGTGCTTCACTCGTCGCATTCTATTATTTCTTGAACACTTATCAATTTGTGAAAATCGTTTCTTATCACAAAAAAATTACAATTTGGGATTTTATTTGTGAAATTATTATTACTCTGATTTCAAATGTTTGGATGGTGTTTCTTCTGGAAATTGTAATATTTTTGGCGAAATGATGACGTTATTTATAATGATATTAGTGATAACCGTAAAGGAAACGACCATGGTGTTGACGAAAATTGATGATAATAATAATAAAAATTATGATCATGATAAAAAAATGATTAACGAAAATTGTATTTTTAATGATAACAATGACGAGAATAGTGAAAAAGATGCCAACACGATAGAAATTATGTATGTATGTATGTATGCATGTATGTATGTATGTATGTATGTATGTATGTATGTATGTATGTATGTATGTATGTATGTTTGTATGTATGTATGTATGTATGTATGTATGTATGTATGTATGTATGTATGTATGTATGTATGTATGTATGTATGTATGTATGTGTGTGTGAGTGTGAGTGTGTGTGTGTGTGTGTGTGTGTGTGTGCGTGCGTAATCGTGTGTGGTCGCATTAATTGATGAGATATTACATTAAATTACATCAACACACGTGATGTGACCGTATTATTCATGCCATTAAATTGATTGATGATATATTGTGAGGTAATTTGTTGATGTGATACATTACATTAAACCAATAGTGTATGCATTAATTGTTTCAAATTTGTTCTATAGTTGAATAAAGTGTCGTATTGAAGCATTATATAAATAGAACGATGCTACCGATTTTTAATATCAATTTTATTTTTTTTATTGACAATTATTTCATAATTTTTTCATAAATTTTTGTGTACTCTTGCCGAAAATATCTATAAATAATTTTAGAGAATAAGTGCGTTCAATTTCTCAGATCCCCCTTTGCAAGTTACACCAACTCGTCCCCATCACCTTCGTCCCCATCTTTGCACCCCACCTTCAATGCCGAAAAGAACAGTTTTATCGATACCTCGGGCCCTATGGCAATCTTCAAGGCTTTCGTTGATGTCAGTGACTACCCTACCAAGTCTGTGTCCGTCAGGATGGATAACTGGAGTAATAAGGTTCGTTCGTTTGTTTGTTGGGTTGTTTGGTGGTTTGTTGTTGTTGTTGTTTTTGTCTTTGTGTTGTTGTTGTTGTGTTGTTGTTGTTGTGTTCCCCTTTTTGCTGGTTTATTATTAATTTTATGGTGCCCTGTAGTCTTGATATTTGTTACTTTAAGATCGGAGTAGGCGTTCTGTATTTGTAGCAGTCAGTTAATTTATCGATTGCAATTTGGTCAGTTGAGTTATCAGTTAACCAACTTTTCAATAAATAAAAAAAATCACCGAATAAATCAATCAATCAACCAATTAATTAAACAAACAATTAATTAATTAATTAATTAATTAACCAATCAATCATTCATTCAATCAATCGATCAATCATTCTGACCAACCAATCAACCAGGTAATTGTTGAAGCCAGCCAGGACGAGAATCCAGTAAGTCATGTAGCCACGTCATTCACACAAAAAATTCCACTGCCTAAGTATGTACATATATATGTGTGTGTTTGTGTTTATGTGTATGTATGTGTTCCTATCTGTATTTGTGTGTGGTGTGTGTGTATCTGTATGTATTTACGTATGTATTGATATGTCTAAACTCGTTTGCACATCTATGTATGTGTTTTTAGGTGTGTATGTGCGTGTGTATGTATGCGTGTGTATGTACGTGTGTGTGTGTGCGTGTGTATGTACGTGTGTATATGTATATGCATGCGTATATTTATATCGGTAACTTAAGAAGAATTCTTTATTTGAGATACCTGGTTCAAACGCAAAATCTGTCAAACTCAAAATGAGTCATTCATATAAAAACTATATACCTAGATATTATTAATGCGTGTATCGTGTATATATACAGTGCAATTAGTATATGTGTGTGTGTGTGTATATGTGTAGGTTTGTACTTGTGTGTGTATGCGCGTTTGTGTTGCGCGTATGTGTGTGTGTTCATGTATATGTTTGCTGATCCAAATATGCGTAGGTATAAATTTTTTCTAATCAGATATTCAAGTAAAAAAATCATATTTAATTATATAACCTTATATTGAGTTGCTAGATTGGAGGATAGCATTGAGGATAAAAATTGAAATTCACGTGTGTTTGTATGTTTGTATACGTCTGTGTTAAATTAATGTGTGTGTGTACGCTTATGTACGTGTGTGTGTGCGCTTATGTACGTGTGTGTGTGCGCTTATGTACGTGTGTATGTGTGTGTGTGTGCGCTTATGTACGCGTGTGTGTGTGTGTGTGTGTGTGTGTGTGTGTGTGTGTGTGTGTGCGAGTTTGACTACATGTAAACATCATTCATATTGATTAGACATGTATGTAATTCGTTCTATTCGTTCGTTTAATTGCATTCTATTTGTGTATGTGTGCATGTATGTATATATGTATGTGTGTGTATATAAGTGTGTGTATATATATATATATATATATATATATATATATATATGTGTGTGTGTGTGTGTGTGTGTGTGTGTGTGTGTGTGTGTGTATGCGTGTAAGTTTGTCTGTCTGAATATCTGTCAACACTTTCCCACGTTTGCCTGTCCAACACGAGCAACAAGTAAATAACACCTTAAATTATTAGTCTACTACTACTACTACTACTACTACTACTACTACTACTACTACTACTACTACACTATGGACGTTGTTAGCATTGTTCAATTTTAGGTTTTAGCAAAATCGTGAAATGAGAAATTTTTTAATGCAATACTTTAAAATGATAATAGTAATAATAATATAATTTAAATGAATAATAATATTAATAAAAATGATAATAAAAATAATAATAAAATTAATGATAATAATAAGAAGAATCATCATCATCATCATCGTCGTTGTCCAGTTCATTCAACTAGTCATCAAAAGCTATAATAGCATCATTCATCATCATCACCATTATCATTATTCATCTTTGTCATCCTCATCGTCGTCCTCATCATTTCATCATTTATCATTTGTTTACACACTCATACACACA